GAAGACAATTGTAAGTCAATCCTGCCATTTGGCCTTTTTGAATTGTTGCAAACATTATGGTATCACTCCTCAATTATGTAATCTAATGGGGAAGTGTTATTGGGACACAGTTAATGAAATACTTTATCACGCCTTTATCAAGAAATTAGCGGAAAGTTACGAGACTGAGAGGCGTAAGCTATTTAAGTCCAGAGATCTCAAGTCTAGATTAAGCAAGGATCTAGCTAGGCTTCTCACTTTGGATGATTTTCAAAAAAACTAAAGATTATGACCGACCAGAAGTCGCAGAGGGTCCGGGATCTGATAAATAAGCGGTATGACAAGAAATTGCTTAGCTATGTGATAATAAGATAACGCAAGACCAAGCTATTTCTCTATTGAAGGCATCAACTGCTACAGTCTTGAGTTTCCTTCGTTCCTCATCAGCCGCTCCTTGGTGATGTCTCTTTCTATTGTTGAACAGTTGTTCTGGGTCCAAGCGTCTTCTTTTTCATGTCATCGCCGAAGCTCCAAGTCTGCTCAGGCATCACGCGAAATGATTGCTGAGTCTCCCCTCTTTTAATCTTCGGTCCATCAGCTTTCTTTGAAAGAGGATGTCCACAGCCTCCTTGACCTTCCGGGTCCAGTCAATCGAGTGGCCGGTAGGTGCGATGTGTTCAGCTATCTCCGATCTTTCTGTATCCATTCTGCTGCCTAGTCGCTGGTGTTCTTTGATCCTTGTGCTGATTGTCCTTCCTATCTCTCCGATATATTCTTCTTCATAGTCCTTGTAGTTTGTGCTGTAAACTGCGGAGCACCCTATTTTGCTGACTTCTTCGTGTTACGTGGTCAAGCTGGTGAAGAGGGTTGTCCTTTCCTTCAGGATTGCACGAATGTTCCATTTCCCTAGTATTGGCCGTACCTTCCGAGCCAATTCGCAGGAGGGTAGACATATCCGTTACTTTTCTTCTGCTCCTCTTGCTTTCCTTTCATAGTCTCCGTCCTTCCATCTATTCATCATCATCCGTATGTTGCGTCGGATTGGTTTATCTGGATATCCGTTTCCAAGACACACCTGCGTTAATTTTCCCAGTTCCTCTGCTCAGAACTCAGAATCAGTGGGTCGTAAGCTTCTTATCATCATACTCAGCAGAATTCCAATCTTCATTCCATAATTATGGTTAGACTGGAAGTTAAGAGTTATTCCAACATTCGAGTTCTTTTTGAAAAGTTTTTTCTTAAGAGTTTCCTCGGAGCGAATGACCTCCACATCCAAGCGCGATACGTGTCCGTTCTCTTCTACACCCATGGAAAATATGACTTTTTCATCCATTTCGTTTGTGAAGTCGTCATCCCTATGTCGTATAATTACTGTTGGTTGCCTGGGTGACATTTTGAAATTCTCCTCGAACGCGTCCATGAAGAAAGTGGACAACAGAGGTGAGAGTGGTGAGCCTATAGGCAGACTAAAACTTTGCTCATAGATGCGGCCGTTGAACATAAAAAAGGTGGTTTTTATTGTTAGGTTGATTAATCGGGTTAGAGAATCTCTACGCGTTTGCTCTGTCGGCAGGATGTCATTTTCTTTTTCCAAGATCTTCAGTAGTGCAGTGAGTGCTTTTTCTACTATCTTGTAAGTGTACATGGACTGTACATTAAAGCTCTTCAAGAGTTAGTTTCCTTGCAAACTGGTGTCTTTGATTCTTTGGCAAAATTCGTATGAGTTCTTCACTGTATTTGGTAATTTGTCATTCACTTTCTTACATTTGAAGCAGATAAATTTCGCCAAGTTATGTATCGGTCCATGTTGATTGTTGATTATCAGTCTCAATGGTTCTCCTTTTTTGTGTACCTTCGGCAAATCATATGCTTTTGGGGCTCTTGTATCCTTTTGTATGGGTGAGTTCATTGTTCATATGTCGATTTCCTCGTTCCTCTTCATTTTCTTCAGCATTTCTTGCAGAGCATCTTTAATTTTAGCTGCTGGGACTTTTGTTAGTAGTCTCCGAGAATTTTTTCTATTTCCTCTGTATATTCCTTCTTGTCCATCAACACTGTGGCACCTCCTTTGTCTGCTTGTAGGACTATTTGATCGTTTCTGTTCAATTCGCTATACATCTTGGTTATATTGTCTCTATGTGTGGGTTCTTGATGCGCCAAGATTATTGGGATAATTTCCATTTCCAGCTCTCTTTTTGATTGTTCCGGTAGCTTTTCAGAGGTAGTTATCACCTCCACTAAAATGTCCTTGATCGTCTTCTTTTCATTGCGAAGTGCAAAATGTAGTCCCTTTCTAAGGATCTAGGTGGTTTCCAGGTCAAGAGGAATGAAAGATAAATTCACTACTTTATCCTATTTCTTGTCTGGACCTTTAGAATCGCCAGCTTAGAGGCGATTGTTTTTATCTTGGGCTGTCTATATATTCCATATTTATTTAACTTCTTCTAGTGCCCTTTTTTGATTAAGTCCTATATCCTTTTCGCCATTTTGTCTGTCATCTGTTATTTCAGGAAATCCTCCGGTCTGAGAATCTGTCTCAAATCATGATTGAGTCAAGATTCAATATCTAAAAACTAAAATAAATTTCCCTTTCTTTATTATCTGTCTCTTCCAATTTTTGCAAAGAAGCTTGATATAATATAGAAATGACTTTATGAGAATGATAATTTCTCATTAAATTGCCAAAATTAGGAGGGATGCCGCTATATTTGCAAGAGTTAAGAAAGGTCAAATGACAAGATTGACTTACGATTGCTTTCTATAATCTGCTGTAATCAATGCATTGACTGGTATTCTTTCCACCATAATTAGTTAGTAGATATAAAGGACAAGATTTTATTTTGAAATTTTTGACTTATTCCTTTCTATGCATATTTGTTACATTTCACTCATCTTCCTCTTTGGTCATTATTAGGAATTTAACTTTAGCAGACTTTAGTTGATTCTTTTCTTAATATTATTTCTATTAATAATATCCTGCTGATTCATAATCTGACTTTATTTATTCCATCTAACTACTGTTTAA